CCCTTGCGTTGGACTTGAACCTGGAACCTTGTGATTCAGGGATGACAGTGCTACCCATGGAGTCACAGCTGATACAAGCAGAGTCAGTGAGCAGGGATAGGGCACAAAACATTAATAGTGAAAAGTGAGAAGACAATCTGAGAGAGCCCGAAGCAAAAGCCTGAGGGGACCTGTGAGGGGATGGAGTGGAACCTTGTGCCAAGTGGATCATGAGCCATCAATGGTTGAGCTATTTAGCAGAGGTAAACAATGGCTTACAGCAGCAGAATAATATTGCCACAGAGAGACAGAGCACAGGGGTTAGGTAGAGCCAAAGGGTGGGTACAGCTGAAGGAGCTGGTCTAACAAGACAAGGTGACAAGCCAGTCCCAACCAAACCAGAAGAGTAGTTCTGAGGGATAGCTGGTGTCAGCAGCTACAGGATGGAAATGGAAACCAACAAAGGAGAGAGGATCAGTTACCGAGGCAACAGGATTCAGAGCAGGCTTGCACCCAACAGAAACTTATCAAAGCTTGCTGCATGAGGAGTGAAAAATTCCTTCTGTTGATCACAGCATTGAGTGTGCAAGAGCAAACCACAGCAGCAGAGGGGCAGTCCATGATATATATTTGCACAGATTGCAGACTCTCGTTGTCCAGAACAAAGGGCCTTCCATTTCCCACAGTAGCTATCTGTGTGCCAAATTCCTAGTTTTCTGTTTATCCCAACACCCACCCTGCCCGCTGCCAGTGTGAAGAACAGGCAGCTTTTCTGAAACAAATGGGAGTTTTGTGTAGAGTTACTATGGTATGTAGGTGAACCCATGTCCCCCAGCCTCTTATACTACCAATTTTCAGCCTGATCATGTGTGGAGAAAACGCTCATGATTGACAACTCTTTATTTTCATACCTTACTATAAAATCAATAAACCGAAAAACATCAATGTCCTCCTGCTGTCTTAAGGTGGATGATCAACGGTGATCATATCGAATGGTGGAGCAGATTCGAAGGGCTGAATGGTTCACTCTTGCTCCTGTTTTCTATGTTTCTACATTTTAATATTTCATTTAAAATCACTGTTGCTCTAATTCCTGAAGTACTCTCAAGCTGTGACTTTTTGAAGGGATGCTGCTTTCTAAACATCTCCATCTTAGTCATTCCATTTTAGTTAATCTATTGCTTATTTTACAAGAAGACTGTACTGTGTAATGCCCCTACTACTGAACACACTACCTATAAATTATAAATCCAAACCCATGACAATGGTTGCTGCAAAGCCTTTGCTTTTGGTTGTACAGTCATCCGTGACATAACAATCTCACATCGGTTGTTCATGAATAGATCATTAAGAGATTAGTGTTTTTTGGCAGGAAAAATTCTGCCTTGACACACCGCCAGGCTTTGCTCCAGTAAAACGACTCGTTGGGATTACAATCTCCAAAGGATTTAGGGACACACCCAAACATAGGCGGCACGGTGGCTCAGTGGTTAGCACTGCTGCCTCATAGCACCAGGGACCCGGGTTTGATACCATCCTTGGGCGACTGTCTGTGTGGAGCTTGCACATTCTCCCCGTGTCTGCGTGGGTTTCCTCCAGGTGCTCCGGTTTCCTCCCACAGTCCAAAGATGTGCAGGCTAGGTGGATTGGCCATGCTAAATTGCCCATAGTGTTCAGGGATGTGTAGATTGGGTGGGTTATAGGGAGATGGGTCTTAGTGAGATGCTCTGAGGGTTGGTGTGGACTTGTTGGGCCAAAGGGCCTGTTTCCACACTGTAGGGATTCTATGATCCAATTTTAGTTTGAAACTATGAGTTACGGTTGAACAGCGCTTGTTTTAGAACCTGACAGAAGAAATCCTCCTCATCTCAAGTCTTAAATTGAGGTTCATTTATTCTGAAACTGTGTCCTCTTGTCGTAGACTCTCCCACAAGGGGAACGTCCTCCTAGCGTTTAACCTGTCAAACCCATTAAGAATCCCAGGTCATCATTTATCTGGATGACATGCTAATAACTGGGAAAACCAATAAAGACCTAGTGTTTGAACGTTTGACGGAAAACTCATATGCAAACTGGCCTCCATCCTGGCACCCTGACACCTGCTATTGAAAAGGGGTCAGCCTTGGAAATGGTCTCGGAGTCAAGATATAGCCTTTAAGGAAGTGAAAAAGCAGCTATGGTTATCTAAGGTGTTGGCAACTACAATCCCAAGCAAGATATGGTGCTAACATGCAGTGTCTCCCCAAACAGTAATGGGGTAGTGTTGGCTCACAGATGGCCCAATGGAGAGGAATGCCCAAGAGCGTATACTTCCTGAACTTTGGCTGATGCAGAGCGCAAATATGCCCAGATAGAGAAGGCAGGCTTGGCAGTCATCTTTGATGTGAGGAAGTTCCACCAATATCTTTATAGATGTAAATCTGTAATAATAACAGGCTACAGCTACTCAAAGAGGACAAGGCTTCAGGTCGAATTCAGTGGTGGGCTCTATTCTATGTACATAGAATTATAAGTTGGAACACCATCTGGGAGGCCAAGTAGCAAATGCGGATGCCTTCAGCCGCCTCCCACTGGCAGATACACCACCAATGATGGTGCCACTACAAGAGTCCATTCTGGTTTTAAACTTTCTGGACACCCTTCAGGTTACTGCTGACAATATCCGACTATGAACACGAAAAGATCCCATCCTAGCAAAACTAAAACAGCTGGTGGCGATGGGGGAAACAAAAGGGCTATCATAACCAGAACTGAAACCTTCTGGACCACACAAGGCCACATTGTCCTGAGCAAAAGTTGCTGCCAGATATTGGCTGAGCTCCACTAGTGTTATCCTGGAGTTTCCAAAATTAAGATGTTGGTGAGATGTTATGTCAAGTGGCCAGGATTGGATGCAGACATAGCTACAATGGTGGGGCAATGCTCAGAGTGCCAAGAAGGACAAACATTACTGCCAGCAACTCCCTCACATTTGTGGGAATGGCCGTGTAAACACTGAACTCCGTTACATGTCGACTATGCTGGTCCTTTCATAACCCTCTGCTTTTAGTGATTGTGGATGCCTATTCAAAGTGGTTGGACATGCATAGAGTTCATTCATCAAACACTGGGACAATGATTGAAAAGTTAAAAGTAACTTTTGCAATACATGGGCTCCGGGAGGTGTTGGTCACAGATAACAGGCCATTATATACCAGCAGAGAATTTAAATATTTTCTAAAGTTGAATGGCACTCGGCATGTAAGGACAGCTCCATACCATCTATCATCCAATGCTCTCGCGAAAAGAGCAGTCCAAACCTCGAAGACAGGCTTAAAGAAACAGCCTACAGTTTCACTTTATACCAAACTGTCCCAGTTCCTGTTTGATTATAGGACCACCCCTCATGCAACAAAAGGGACAGCTCCAGCAGAGTTGCTAATGGGGTGAAGACTCTGCACCAGTTTAAATCTGACCTGGGGCAGGGAGATGAATTTTGGCTGAGACGCTCGGGCCCAAGAGGTGAGCTATGGTCTGGTACACCTTGCCAGTATCTAAGGTAGAGTCAGAGAACCGGACCTGGTGCAAAAATTCCACAAGCGAAGCGACAGGAAAAAGAATGGGCCTAAGTCCCAGGACCTAGGGGGTGGGAGGGGGGAGATGGATGTAGTGACTGGAAGTAGGTCAGCCAAGTGGACCTAATAGAATATGTGTTCGCTGATTAGGGCTGTTAACCAGGTTCAATCAGGGAGTCCTGGCTGACAGACATAAATAGAAGCATCAGGGTTTCTGCTCATTTTAGGAGCCAGCACTGATCTAACTGAGTCAGTGTTAGGTATCATGCACATGTAATTAAAAGGTGACTTGGAGATGGAATGCCAGCATCATGGAATTATCTTATCCCCGGTCTCTCTTTCTCTCCCTCCCATACTCTCTTCCACCAGTTCTCTCCCTTTCCTAAAATTTCTCTCCCTCTCTTTCTATCTCCCCATCTCACTGTCCCTCAAACTTCCTCAGTTTTGTCCTTCTTCTCATCCTGGTTTCTCTCTCACCCCATTCTCTATCAATCTTTCCATCTCCCAAAGCCCATCCTTCTTCTCTCCTCACCCCTGTATTTCTCTCTCTCAACCCCGATCTCTTTTTCCACCATGATCTCTCTCTCTCTTCTGCACATCCTCCGTGGTCTCTCTCCTCCCATCCGTGCACTCGCTGTTCTCTGTTCCCCTCTTCTGTGCTCCCTCTTCTCCATGCTCACCTCTCGGGGGCACACCCTCTCCTCCACACCCACCCCAGGCAGTCTCACTACTCCATGCGCCCTCCCCAGCTCCGTCTCCTCCACATTCCCCCAATGGTCTCTCTCCTCTCCATTTCCCACCCCCCGTGCATGGTCCCTCTTTTCCACGCCCCCCCTCCACTGGTCTCTCCACCTCTGGACACCTGTCCAGGGTCCCTTACTTCCACGACCCTCACCGTCCCAGCAGTTCCCCCCACCCCCCAACATGGTCACCCTCCTTCACAACCACGACTCCCATGGTATCTGTCCTCCACCACCCGCGTGGTCTCTGTCCTTCACACCCACCGCTGGGATCGCTCCCTTTCACGTGTGCCCCCACATGGTCTAACTACTCCATGACCCCGCGTCTTGCTTCCCCCACTGCGATCTCTATCCTCCAGCCCGCCCGCCTCTCTCCTCCACGCCCAAACCCATGGTTTTTTCCCTCTCTGCCCCTCTCCTTCTATTCCCCCCGTTTTCTGAACCTACCCTCCCTTACAACGGTCGGAGAGGGGGGCGGGACAGGGTGGTCTCCAGTAGGTTGATTGGCATTCCTGTTGATACAAGTTGGCGGGGAAGCTCTATGATTGGCAGTTCAGCCAGCCATCTAGCTAGCGGGAAGTGAGAGCGGGAAACGGGGTCATGGATATGGGTGGGATAATAGATGATTGGCAGTTACCTAAGCGTGTAGGTATGGAGAATACCTCCGATGGACAGCTAGGCGGCCAATGGGAGTCCAGGGGTGGGACACGCAATCAGGCAGGCGGCAGTTGGTGCGCAGGCGCATTGTCAGTGTGTGAGGAAGCAGAGTGAGCGGCAATGGCGAATGAGAAATATCTGCCCGAACTTATGGCGGAGAAGGACAGTCTGGACCCGTCCTTCGTCCATGCAAGCAGGTTACTGGCTGCAGGTAAAGAGTGGGGCTCCGCCAGTGCTGTGTGGGCGGGATTTGGAGCTTTAGGTTTAGGCCTCGGGGCCTGTACTTCGTCGCCTTGGCCCCGTGGAGAACAAAGGGCGGAGCGTGGGGGAGGGGTAGGGGTTCGAAACCGATCCCGAAATCACCCCGATCCCCGCTACTCGTCTCTCCCGCCCAATCCCTACCGTTAGTCCCCGATCCTCAATCTCCGGACTATTCTTGCTTTTCCAGATTATATATTAATGATTAGATATTGGTGCAAAGGACAGAATCTGCAGGCGAAATGAAATTTTAAAGCAGTGTAATTTGGGGAACGTGGTGTAGAACTTCTAAAGGACGTAGACAAGTGGTGCAATGGAAGGACAAGTAGCAGATGAAGTTCAATGAGGAGAAATGTGAAGAGTTTTTTTTTGTTGGAAGACTATGGAGTGCGCTGTAAAATGAAGGGCAGTCATCTTACGGTGTTTCAGGAGCAGAGGGACCTACGTGTATGTTTGCAGAGGGCCTTTAAAGGTGGCAGACAAGTTGAGAGCTTGGTTAATAAATCATCATAGTATCCTAGGTATTTTTTGGTAGTGACATATAGTTGAGGAGCAAGAAGTAGATGTTGAACCTCCATGGGGCACAAGTTTGTCCTCCCTGCTGGAGAATGGTCTAGTTCTGCACTTTAGGAGGCATGCAAAGATACTGGCAAGAGTGCAGAAAAGATTAATGAGAATGATTTCAAAGAACAGGACTTTCTCTGTGTAAATATATTGAAGAAATTAAGGCTGTTTATCACAAAGGAATGAAGATTGAGAGAACATTTGGAGTATTGGAACACTCCAAATCATGACACACTTAAGAGCATTGTGTTCAGTTCTGGTTGCCACATTATAGTAAGGATGTGGAGGCTTTGCAGAGGGTGCAGAAGAGGTTTACAAGGATGTTACCTGGATTAGAGGGTATGAGCTATAAGGAAAGGCTAGAAAAATTCAGGTTGTTTTCTCTGGAGCAGCAGAGGCTGAGGGGATACTTGATAGACGTCTGTAAAATTGAGATTCATAGATAAGGTTGATGTTCAGAATCAAGTTTTCCAGAGTTGAAATGTCTAATACTAGGAGGCATGTATTTAAGGGTACAGGGGGAAGTTCAAAGGAGACGTGAGGGGCAGGTTTTTTTTACACAGTGGTAGTAGTCTAGAATGCAGTGCCAGGAGTGGTGGTGGAGGCAGATACGATGAGGCTAGTTAGGGGACTTTTAGATAGACATATGACCACGTGAGGAATGGAGGGATATGCACCAAGGGCAGGCAGAAGGGATTAGTTTTATTTGTCGTCGTGTTCAGCATAGGATCAAGAATGAGAAGGCATAGATTTAATCAGAGATAGTAGGAACTGCAGATGCTGGAGAATCTTGTTGTCTCGGCATAGATTTAAATTTTCTTTTGAAAGGCAAAGGCACCTCGAGAGAAACCTTTCCAAGTAGAAAATGTTTTGGATATGGAATGCGCTGTCTGTGTTGCAGGCACGTTCAATCGAGGCATTTAAATGGGAGTTATTTATTTGAAACAGTGAGCAGGGTTACGTGGAGAAGACAGGACGATGGCACAGTGAAATTCTCATTCATACAGCCAGGACTGACATGGTGGGGCGAATGCTGTGTCTTGCAGTCTAGACGCATCATGTGGCCTGTGGGACATTATTGTCTGAGACTATAAAACTGATGATTGTGGTATAGATGACAGTACTTCTTAACCAGTGCTGAATTGGTTTGAGGTTTGAAACAAACAAAAACACATTACTGGCAAAACACAGCAGGTCTGGCAGCATTTGTGGAGAGAAAACGGAGTCAATGTTTTGAGTTATGTGACACTTCCTGCGGTTATTTGTTGTATGTTCTATCTTAGCAAACTAAGTCTGAAGATATGCCCTAAATTACGGGATGAGGGCATCGCTGGCTAAGGAGCATTTATTGCCCATCCCTCAATGCCCAGAGGGCAGTTCAGAGTCAACCACATTGCTGTGGGTCTGGAGTCACTTGTAGTCCAGACCAGGTAAGGATGGCAGTTTCCTTCCCTAAAGGACATTAGTGAACCAGATGGGTTTTTCCGACAATTGACAATGGATTCTGTAATTCCAGATATTTATTGAATTCAAATTCCACAATCTGCCTGGGCAGGATTTGAATCTGGATCCCCAGAACGTAATCTAGATCTCTGGATTAACAGTCTAGCGATAATACCACTAGGCCATTGCCTCCCCAGTGTAATTCATTTAATCTAAAATTGTTTTTTTTAATGAATTCTGGTTGTATGAGGTTTCTCTTGACTGTTTTTATTTAACTGTGTTTATTGGCTAATTGGAAGGATTTAGTTGATGCTTTAGTGTCTGCTGCTACTCAGGTTGAGTTCAAATCCCTCTCCAGGACTGAGACATTGAAATAGTCTAATACTGCAGTGCAGTATTGAACAGTACTGGAGTCATTGTCTTTAGGAGGCGTTAAACTGAGGCTTCTTCTGGTCCTTCAGGTAGATGCTAGTTTGACTATTTTTAAGGTTTCAATGGTAGCCATGATGTGGAGGTGCTGGTTTTGGACTGGGGTGCATAAGATCAAAAATCATACGACACCTATGTAAACTATAACCTGGTGTCGTGTGATTTTTGACTGTTTTGAAGAGCAGGAGTGTTGTACCAAATGCCAATATGTAACCTTCCATTAATGCCACAAACTGTCAACCAGCACTATCATTATTGCTGTTTGTGGAGTTGATATGCACATTAGCAGTGAATCTCTTTGGGATGTATGGGGTTGTACGATGTGATAGAGAAATGTAAACCTTTCTGGAGACTGGTAATTTGGATTTGAGTTAAAATGCTCGCTAGAAATTGTTTTAAACAGAAACTGCAGAAACTCCACGTTAAATGAGAATCTATTCTGGCCTTGGTTATTGCTTTAGATTTGACAGGTGTATTCTGTGCAGCAGGGATAGGTATTAAGTTTGGATAAAGATATATCTTTTAACTTAATGTGATTCTAGAAGTGCCTAGAAACACAGTGGGAATTTGTGTGCTGTCTGAAGCAACGTGTAGTAGCTATCATGCAGGAAGAATGAGTAATACACAGCAAGAATAAATATTTGCAGTTTTGTTTTTTCAGAAGCTTCGCGCGTGGTGACTTTGCTTGGCACTTTACCAAGCTTCAGTACAAGTTTGTGCCTTCAGAGTTTAAAGTAGATAAATGATCAAAGCTAGAGCATAAATGTAAAAATAAATGTCTAGGAGAAGGAACAAGGTTTTATACAAAGGTGAACTAGAGATCCAGTGCAAGATTTAAAAACCAGTACACTGTCTTGCATTTTCGGGACTGTGGGAATGTCATTAATTTTTAATGTCACGTTAAACGTTGGTGATGTGATGAGTTTATGCTGTGTTGCAGACCGACATAGGCTTTCAGCTAGAGTGAATTCATTTCTAATTGTAAACACCTAGTCAACGCAGTAATCAGGAAACTTTTAATGTTGTAACTGTGTAGTGATCTTCCATCTGTTCAAGTAATCATGTTGTCTAGGGCAGGAAGTCTTCTGGTTCTTGCATGATTTGTGTCAAATTTGTATCTCAAATCTCAGACATTAGTCATGTGTGAAAATACCACTCCAAATATTTGTGCCCTGTGAGAACTGAAATTTGCTGTAACTGTATTGGACACAGATTAAAGGGAAAGGATCTTGTGAAAAGTGGGGAATGTTTAACAGCTGGCTATATTCTCAGCATTAAGTTACATGAAATTGTTTTTCTTCTGTTTCTGGGGTGTGTGTTCATTTTGGGCTGCTGCAGAACAGGTTGTTCCGCTAGCTTATTGCTTATTTCAGTGCCTATCTTCTACACTTCAAGTGGTATATGAATACAGCAGTGCAAAACCACATAATTCTAGAATTGCATTTGGTAGGATTAACCAGTAAAGGCATTGTTAAATAAAGCACAATTCTAAAGGGATAGAAGAGCAGAGGGTACAGTCAAACAGCATTCGGTCCAATCAGTCCAAGCTGACTGTACCCAAACTAAACTTGGTTATTGCTGTAGACTGCATTCATTTGCAGGCACTTCATTGAGTTGACAGGTGTGTTCTGTGCAGCAGGCGTAGGTATTAAGTTTGGATAAAGATATATCTTTTAACTTAATATGTGATTCTAGAAGTGGCAAAAACAATGTGTATGCATTTGGCCCATACCCCTCAACCTTTCCTATTTATGAACTTATTCAAATGTCTCTTGAATGTTTTAACTGCACCTGCATCCACCACTTCCTCCGACAGTTCATTTCCACACACGAACCACTCTGTGTTTAAAAAGTTACCCTTCATGTCCTTTTCAAATCCTTCTCCACTCACCTTAAAATAGTTTTGAACTCCCTTGCAGTTGGGAAAGAGCCTTGTCATTCACCTTATCTTTGACCCTCAGGATTTTATAAACCTCATTAAGATCACCCCTCAAACCTCCTACGTTCCAGTGGAAAAGTCCCAGTCTTTCCAGTCTGTTTATATCTTAAACCCTCCATTCCCACCAACATCCTGGTAAATCTTTTCCGACCCTTTTCCAGTTTAACTATATTCTTCATATAACAGGGCAGTCAGAACTGTACACAGTACTCCAGAAGAGGCCACACCAATCTGTACAACCTGAGTGTGATGTCCTAACTCCTGTTCTGAAAAGATCTGAGCAATGAAGGCAATTGTGCTAAACACCTTCTTAAACACCTTGTCTACCTGTGAAGCAAATTTCAAAGAATTATGTACCTGAACTCCAAGTCTGTCTGTTCTACAACACTATCCATGGTCCTATCATTAATTGTACAAATCCTGTTCTTGTTTGTATTACCAATGCAGTATATGAAACAATATCCTTTTATTATCGTGCACTTCATTGTAGGAGTACAGTGAAAAGCTTTTACAATGTCTGCCTTCTTATTGTGACATCTTAGGTTCAAGTAACTAGGTACAATTCTTGGATACAGCAGAGGAATAAAAGTAGTTGCATTACTTAGAGTTGAAAAATAAGTTTAAAAATAGGACATTAAGGGCTGACATTACAGTAAGGTAGGACATTTCAAATAGACATTAGTGTAACTGCTCTGACCTGGTACTCAGCTGTTCCAAACTAAGTGCCAGGACTGCCTTCCCTGTGCCAGTCTCCATCCAGGACTCTCTGCATGTGCTCTGCACTGGGGCTGCTTCCCCACGTGCTGCACTGGTTTTCCACATCTACATTTCCAGGGCACCAGAGTTGCTTGGAGGTTGTACAGTCTTGGCATGTGATTTTCTGCCAGTTGATTTTGAAGTTTGGGCAAAGATTGAAAAGCGCTGTGGAATTTAGACTCCATTTTCCTTGGTATTCAGCCTGTCGAACCTATTCTGCCATTCAACTAGATGACGGCTAATCATCTCCGACTGTAATTTTCCCAAGTGACTCCAAATCTGTTAATGTCAACATTCTGAATTCTATCTTGTTTTGAACATGATTAATACTTGAGCTTCCACTGGGGTAAAACCTGTCACTCCCTAAATAACACAACTCCTCTTCGTGTCATGGATGTGCAATCTACTGAGATTAGTCCCTGGTTGTAAACTCACCAAATGGTTGGACACAGCCTAGCTACATCGACCCTGTAAAAAATATTGCAAGTTTAAATAAGATTATCTCTTTTTGAAACTCTAGAGAATGCAGGCCCATTTTCCTCCATCTCCTCTTATAAATCAATCCTCTATTCCAGGGATTAATCTGGTGGACTCCATTACCCGCCATTTGACAGGCATATACTTCCTTAGTAAAGGGGACCAAAAATGAAGACAGTACTCACCAGAGCTCTATAAATTTACAGCAACCCATCTTTACTCCTGTATTCACATCCCTTTAGAATGAAGGCCAAAACACCGTTAACTTTCCTAATTGCTTGCTGCATCTCCATGCCAACTTTCAGACTTGTGAACAAGAGCACCCACATCCCTTTGGACATCATCACTTCCCAGTCTCTCTCTATTTAAAAAAATACTGACTTTCTGTTTGGTACCAAAGTAAATAGCTTCACGGTTAGTGTTATATTCCAGCTGCCGTGTTCTTGCCTATTCGCTTAGCCTATCCTGTGTCTCCTTCATAAATTGTATTTCCACCTAGTTTCTGGGTCATTCAATTTGCAATTGTATTCTATCTCCTTATCCAAGTTATTGGTATAGCTTGTGAATAGTTGTGGTCCCATCACTGATTCTAGCAGTACCCCACAACTATCAGCCCAGTCCACACTGTGCCAGGATACTGAATGCTGAGGTTACTGGACACTGAGAAATGCCTTCCCTGTTTGCGACCTGCACCATCGCCATCCTAGAAGCTGAGAATCCTCATTGCTGGCAAATTGGAGTGCATTCGGAGATCTGCTGGAAATTGGAATTTCAGCAGCAGTTCCACAGGCATTCATATGTACTTTCCTGCAAATTAACTGTTTTCACTTTTGTATGTTTCTCCTAACTGAGGTTTTACCTGCTCTGTTTCATCACCACTGTGGAATGTGGAGGAATTTTAATTCCAGTTTCTCCTTGTAGAAATAGAAAAGGTTCAGAAGGGAGAGAAAAAAGAGGAAGAAAAGAGATTCCTTGATGTCTTGACACAGAAGAACATAAAGCTTTCTGAACGTTGCCTGATACCTGTTGCACAATTCCCGAAGGTAAGGCTTCTGATACATTATGTGCGCCTCAGTTTAGAGTTAGAACAGTGCTTTGCGATGCTTATGCTTTGGAGGAAAAATTTAGTTTCAGTAGTGGAGGTGATATTCATTCTTGTTACTGTGACTATTTATTCATTCATATAGCTTACTGCAGGTGAAAACTATGCATTGTCTCCAGTGTGATTTTGTTCAACATTATTTTAGTCCCAAAGCAACAGTGCTACTAAACAACAATATAACTTTATGCCTGTAGGAAGATTTGTACTTCAGTCTACTGTCTGTGCGTCGTCTGAGTGTGGAGCATAGGTGGTGAGCAGAATACTAATCTTTGGAAGGAGAGTGAAATTTCTATAACTTGTAGTTGACTGCTACTTAAATTTATCTTGTGTCCCATAATTTCCATCAAGTCTTTTAGACAGGTGACAGATATCAAGACTTAACGGTTTGAGGAAACTCTAATTGTCAATCAGGACAAGTCCCACAAATTCTACAAAAGCTCCTCTGGCTGACTCTGTTACACTGTTGAAATCTGGAGGAAGATTTGGCAGAAAACACCTTCCAAAGTAAACATATCCTCTCTGAGTTAGCATCTCAATGTGGGTTTAAATCTCCCCGAACCTGCGGGCAACCCTTGAGAGAGTATCCTGGAGATGGCTAAAGTTGCACTTCCGAATTTCACCTGGCTCTGACTGCAGGAACCCTGACCACCTTGGGTTTGAGAGTTACATCCTGGAGTTAGACGTTTTCTCCAGGAGAGCGTTGAAGTGGTTAATGAACTTGATGTTCAAACAGTGGTGAATTTATGACCTGAAATGGTGATAACTAGTAAGTAAGTTCTTGGATGATACAAAAATTGGTCAGATGGAAAATTATAAGGAGGATAGCCTTAAATTGCAGGAGGATATATTCAGGCTGGTCAGATGGGCTGATTAATGGCAAGTGGAATTCAATTTGGATAAATGTAAGCGCATGCATTTGTGCAGAGTGGGCAGGGTAAACAAGGCAAGACCCTGGGAAGCACAGAGGATCAGAGGGACCTTAGTGTGTATGTACACCGGTCCCTGAAGTTATCACGACAAGTGGATGAAGTGGTTAACAAAGTAAACTAGCTGTTATTAACTGAGGCATAGAGTTTGAGTGCCTGGAGTTTATGTGGGAATTGTAACGTTGATTAGGCCATAACTAGTGTTTTTTGTGCCGTTCTGGAATCCACATTATAGGAGGGATATGACAGCACTGCAGAGGGTGCAGAGGCGATTTAACAGGCTGTTGCCTGTCCTGAAAGTTTCAGTTATGAAGAAAAATTGGACAGATTGGGGTTTTCCTTAGGGCAGAGGAGATTGAGGGGGACATGATTGGGATGTATAAAATTGAGGGGCATAGATGGGAAGAAATTTTTACCCTTGATTAGGGGAATCAGTGACCAGGAGGTTTGGATTTGGGGTAAAGGGCAGAGGTTTAGAGGAGATGTGAAGATACACTTCTTGATCCAGAAGGTGGTGGGAATCTGGAACACATTGATTGTAAACGTGATAGAGGCAGAAGCCCTCAAAATGTTGAAGAGGTGTTCACAAGTATGTTTGCCATCCCAAGGCGTACAAGGCTATGGGTCAAGTGCTGGAAAATGAAATTAGAATAGATAAATGGTTGCTTTTGAATGGCATGGATGCAATAGCTGAAGAGACTTTTTCTGTGCAATAGCTCAGATTCTAACTACCAGTAAAGTGCTACCTTGGTGGTGCTGTGGTCTGTAATGCAGACGCATTTCCCTGAAATGGCAGTTAAAAAAACAAAAGAACTGTGAATGCCAGAAAACAGAGTTAACACTTCGGGTCGAGTGACCCTCAGAACACTGCTGAGCATTTCCAGCAATTTCTGTTTTTGTCCCTGAAATGGCATTCCAACATTGTGTAAGAGAACTGTGGATGCTGTAAATCAGAGATTCGCTCAGCATCCACTAGCGGCACGTTGAACTTGCATAGCATATGTACTGATTTTTTGGTAACGCTTCAGAGGAAGAAGCAATAAGTATTGTTAGTAAGTATATGTTAATCTCAAATTTGGCCTTTAAAGTGCAATTGTGAAGAACCTGCACATTATACCTTTGGTTATGTCTTACCCAAACACAGACTGTAGACAGAGTTTTGGGAAACTTGCTTGATCTAGACTGAAGCTTGATGAATCTCTTGTTTCTTCCCCCACTTCATGTCCGATGTTTTAAGATGAGTAGAGGGGGAATGCATGGATGTAGAAACCACTCATTTTCAGTCGATCTGAGATGTGTACTTCGCAGGAAACATTGTGAATTAAATTCTCTTAAGTTGGGTAGACTTAAAGAAGGAAGCACTTTTCATGGCCTCAGAAGATGTTCCAAAAAGCTTTACAAACAATTAAATACTTCAGTGTAATATCTGTAATGCAGTTCTTCATTAATTTGAAATGTTTTTGTAGTTCAACTTTGTAGGGAAGCTGCTTGGACCTAGAGGAAATTCATTGAAGAGGCTGCAAGAAGATACAGGCACAAAAATGTCCATCCTTGGGAAAGGTTCAATGCGAGATAAGTCCAAGGTATGAAAACTTTAAAAGTATTAACTTGATGATAACTGTAAAATGTCATTGGAATTCCAATTGGGGTGGGAAAATTGTGCCTCAGTTCAGTTCTGTAGAACTCTTAATCAGTGAAGCCATTTTATTCGGGCTTCTGGAGTTCATTTCTATGCAAATAGATGCAACCATTCTGCAAACAAAATTCCACAATCTCAAATATTTCAAAGTTGCAATGGCACAAATTGAGTAAGCTGATTCTGAAAGATTTGGACAGGGAAATGGGTATAACTTGTGTCCCTCTGTATGTTTCATATCCATTTTCAGTGAGAGTAGGTGAATGGTTGATAAGTTAGCGATGAGTGAGACACTGGTAGGGACATATAAGATTATTTTGTACATGTGAGAAGGAAATTGATTTGTGGCACATATCTAGTTCTGATGAGGGTAGGATTGAACTCCATTACATTTCAATGAGTGCATTGTGTATTGAAGAACAATACTTACTGTTTGTGGTTGTGAGGTTGACTACCAACAGTGAACCTATACCTTAACACATTGTAAAGTAGCAAAATTCATGAAATAGTTTAACATACCACTGATAAGATTATCAACAAATCGTAGGAGTCTGGTAGCTGACCGGTGCTCAGATATGTGTGATATTATTATTACAGATTAATCATGCTTTCTTTTCTTTCCTCTTTTATTAGGAAGATGAGCTTCGTAAAGGAGGAGAAGCTAAGTATGCACACTTGAACAGTGATCTGCATGTTCTTGTTGAAGTCTTTGCACCCCCAACTGAAGCCTATTCACGAATGTACCATGCCATGGAGGAGCTCAAAAAATTCCTTATTCCTGTGAGTCCAACTTTTCATCTTGATAGATCAGACTATTGCTTGTTTCCAAGTGTCAACTTTACTCCCTTTGCTTATTGCACTTGACTATCCCAAAATGTAGTTATTGGATGAAAGGAAATTGTTGTCTTTCAGCTGATTATAGCTCAGGACTAGTGTTCAATAAGTGTGGAGTGAGTCCAGCACACTTCTCAACTGCATCTATTTGAGTTTGATTTTTGTGTATAAGATGGCTTGAATTAGCTGAGAATCAGATATATGTAAGCAGGGTAAATGCATAAAAGCTTGAAGCTTAAATATTATGCAGATGTCTCTCCCAGTCTGCGAGCAGGAACTCGAGTGCTGTTTTCTCACTCAATGAATTTCTGGTAAATGTACACTACAACTTTTTACATCCAATTATAAATTCTCATTAACATGATCCTTGCACAACAGTAATTATATTTTGCAAATGTGCTGTTTGCTTCACCGGGGTTAACATGCACAGAAGCAAGATCTTTGAGGGAGGTCAATTTAAATAGATTTTATTGCAGATCAAATTTTGTCATAATTCCTGTTGGAATCTTTCTGTGAAGAACTGTCTGTTATTTTTTTCAGACCCTTTTGGAATATGAATAACTCCTACATGTGCTATGTTTTTAATACTCGTGATTCTGTTTATATCAGTGAGTTAACCCTCTGAAATGGAACACTTCTTTGCATTTCGCACACTGACTTTTCAAATCTAGGGCTGCATGCTTCAGATCAGAACAATTTCTGTCTTTATTGTGCACTTTAAATCTGAGAATGACATAGTAACTTCCCACATCTGCTTTCCCTTACGTTGTCAGTTATGTGCAATTTGGGATATAACCCAGCAGTGCCGTTGGAGTGTCCAATCTTGTTTCATTGAAGCAGGGAGGAGGATTTTATCCCATCAGTCAGGCCTGAAACTGAGCAAAGTACTTCATTTACCAAACCTTGACCAAAATGTGCAATTGAATTGGAAGTTTAGTTATAAACATTCACAAAATTTCAGTGTGGTACTTGGAATTTTTTTTATTGACCTTGTGGGATGTGGACATTGCTAGCTGGCCAGCATTTATTGCCTGTCCCTGGTTACCCTTGAGAAGGTGGTGGTGAACCACTTCTTGAACCACTGCAGTCCACCTGCTGTGGGTTGACCCGCAATGCCATTAGGGAGGGAATTCCAGCACTTTGACCCAGCGACAACTAAGGAACGCTGCTATATTTTCCAAGTCAGCTTGGTGAGTGGCTTGAAGGGGAACTTGAAGGTGGTGGTGTTCCCATAATTTCTGCTGCCCTTGTCCTTCTAGATGGAAGTGGTTGTGGGTTTGGAAGATGCTGTCTGTGGATTTTGTAGATGGTACACACTGCTGCTACTGAGCATCAGCGGTGGAGGGAGTGGATGCTTGTGAATACAGTGTCAATCAAGCGGGTTGCTTTGTCCTGGATGGTGTCAAGCTTCTTGAGTGTTGTTGGGGCTGCACAATCAAGACAAGTGGGGAGTATTGCATCAGATTCCTGACTTCCACCTTGTGGATGGTGGACAGCCTTTGGGGAGTGAGGTGAGTTTGTCGCCAGAGTATTACTAGTGTTTGACCTACTGTTGTAGCCACTGCATTTACGTGGTGACTCCAGTTGAGTTGATGGTTAGCTTGGTTGTATGTGAGGAAAAGTGAATTTTTTTAAATCAGGAGGGTTTCTACACCAAAGCCTCAAACAGCTAACATGAGCAAGAGGTGTGGCTTCCTAATTGGTGTAAGACAGGTAATTGTCTGTGCAGCTATGAGACCTAGTTAAGTCAGTGGTCTGTCCTCAATCTTTGCCAAAACTCGCAGTAAGTGCTTGCAGTAAGGAAAAGTAAGGAGTTAATATCATTGGACTGAACAGTGTCTGTAGTGGTATGTGTGTATGTTCATTTTTAAACTTACATTGACTTGATGTGATGCAGGGTTACAGAGATTGGGTGGGATGCTCTTTGGAGGGTTTGTTCGGACTCAATGGGCCAAACGGCCAGCTTCCACATTACAGTGATTGTATAATTCTGTAAAGTGCAATACTTTGTATTGCAAACTGTCTGTTGTATTGAATGTCCATAAAATGTAATATACATGAAGAGCAAGGATGGCGTTTTTGCTATTTGTTAAAGAATCCATTCTTTATTGGGCTGTCAGACTTAATGGGAGTTTTTTTTAACAACATCGTGGCATGAATAGTGGAAAAACTATGGAATGTGCAGTGAGAAAGCAAGAAAGGTAAGAAATTGTGCGTAAGATATCATTGCACAGTACTACGCTACTGGATTGAAGACTTAGAATGTCTTCTTTTGCTTGAACTCCCTTATCTGTAAAATTTGTCCTTTTGCTTCTGTTCATTCTACATTTGGATGCTTTTAAAGGTAAAGCTTGATACTACCTCAATTACTTGCACTCCTGAAACCCCTTCTTAAAACCTTCCTTCATCAAGCTTTGTATTTAGATACATTGATTTGAGGTGCGGAGCGAAATCAAAAATGTTCACAGATGTAATGGGCCAAATGCCATCCTTCAATGCTATTAAATTCTAGTATTTAATTCTAAGTGACTGCTGTTTTGCTTTCCATTTTATTTGCTGTCTTTTTCTAAGCTAAGTTGATGAAGCACTAAGGTTCTAAGTTTAAGAAAAAACTGCCTTAGCTTTTCACAGGTTTCTGAGTTTAAGGAAAAATACTGCCCTATCTTTGATAGCAAGGTGTAGAGCTGGATGAACGCAGCAGGCCAAGCAGCTTCAGAGGAGCAGGAAAGCTGATGTTTTGGGCCAAGACCCTCCTTCAGAAATGGGGGAGAGGAAGGGGGTTCTGAAATAAATAGGGAGAGGTGGGGAGGCAGATAGAAGATGGATAAAGGAGAAGATAAGTGGAGAGGAGACAGACAGGTCAAAGATGCAGGGGTGCAGCCAGTAAAGGTGAGTGTAGGTGGGGAGTTAGGGAGGGGACAAGTCAGTCCAGGGAGGACGGACAGGTCAAGGAGGCGGGATGAGGCTAGTAGGTAGGAGATGGGAATGGGGCTTGAGGTGGAAGGAGGGGATAGGTGGGAGGAAGGACAGGTTAGAGAAGTGGGGACAAGCTGGGCTGGTTTTGGGATGCGGTGGGGGGAGGGGAGATTTTGAAGCTTGTGAAGTCCACATTGATACCATTGGGCTGCAGGGTTCCCAAGCGGAATATGAGGTGCTGTTCCTGCAACCTTTGGGTGCCATCGTTGTGGCACAGCAGGAGGCCCAGGATGGACATGTCGTCTAGTTTAGTTGTTTAGTGCGAACCGAGCCTGGGTGTTCTGCAAAGCTGTCCCCAAGCCTCCGCTTCGTTTCCCCGATGTAGAGGAGGCCACAACGGGAACAGTATATCACATTAGCAGATGTGCAGGTGAACATCTGCTTGATGTGGAAGGTCTTCTTGGGGCCTGGGATGGGGGTGAGGGGGAGGTGTAGCACTTCCTGCGGTTGCAGGGAAAAGTGCCGGGTGTGGTGGGGCTGGAGGGGTGTGTGGAGCAGACAAGGGAATCACAGAGAGAGTGGTCCCTCCGGAAAGCAGATAAGGGTGGGGAGGGAAAAATGTCTTTGGTGGTGGGGTCGGATTGCAGATGGCGGAAGTGTCGGAGGATGATGCATTGGATCTGGAGGTTGGTGGGGTGGTACGTGAGGATGAGGGGGATTCTGTTGTGGTTATTATTGCGGGGAGGGGGTGTGAGGGATGAGTTGTGGGAAATGCGGGCGACACCGTTGAGGGTGTTCTTGACCGCTGGGTCAGGGGGGAAGTTGCGGTCCTTGAAAAACGATGACATCTGAAATGTTCGGGAGTGGAATGCCTCATCCTGGGAGCAGATGTGGCAGCAAAGGAATTGGGAATAGGGGATGGCCTTTTTGCAGGAAGGTGGGTGGGAGGAGGTGTATTCTAGGTAGCTGTGGGCTTGAAATGGATATCTGTTTCCAGGTGTTTGCCAGAGATGGAAACAGAGGTCCAGGAAGGAGAGAGAGATATCAGAGATGGTCCAGGTGAACTTAAGGTTGGGGTGGAAGGTGTTGGTGAAGTGGATGAACTGTTCAAGCTCGTCGTGGGAGCACGAGGCAGCACCAATACAGTCATCGATGTCACGGAGGAAGAGATGGGGTTTAGGGCCAGTGTAGTTACGGAAGAGGGATTGTTCCACATAACCTACAAAGAGGCAGGCATAGCTTAACCTACAAAGAGGCAGGCATAGCTTGAGTCCATGCGGGTACCCATGGCCACCCCCTTTGTCTGTAGGAAGTGGAAGGGATTGAAAGAGAAGTTGTTCAGGGTGATGACGAGTTCGGCTAAGCGGATTAAGGTGTCAGTGGAGGGGGACTGGTTGGGCCTGCAGGACAGGAAGAAGTGGAGGGCCTTTAGGCTATCTGCATGGGGAATGCAGGTAGGACCTTTCTTTGTCCAGTTTTCTTATTCCTGTGTTCCACAAGCCAATCCACACTTACTTATTCTCCTAGTTTACCTTTTTCTGTAGTATTTGCTGTTTATCATTTTCATAACATTGCTGTCCCAAGTTACCATTAATGCTGATATATGTTGTGGTGTGAAGCATTAATCAATTTTGTTAAATGCTGATTCAGTTTCATGTATTTTGTGATATTAAGTGAGATCTTTGTCATGTTAATGCTGGAATGACAACAGGATTGTTCAGTATTTTTACTTATGAAACTAATACTCCGCAAATAGAATAAGCAAATAAGGGAGACCATAATGTCTTTTGTATTGACATGTTCCTGAAATGCTAATATGCTGGAATGAAGTGTGGGATGAGTAGGATTATAATCTTGAGAGAGGAGTTCAAACCAGGCTTTACAGTTATAGTTGCCATGGTTACAAGTTTTTTAGTGAAGTTTTGTAGCACAGGTTGTGGGTGAGGTTGTAGACCACTGGCTCTGTGAGCATGCCATGGTTACAGTCTAATCAGTGTGCGGAGGTTAGAGATACACCAGTATGATCGTGTAAAACTGAGTATGAGCTACACAATTCAAAATTTCTACAAATGATCCTTGCAACCATCCGTGTGGTCTGCAGGAGCTGTTTAGCCTGAGGCTGCAGAACTGGAGGCCCCAATTTAAGGGGTAGATGTTTTGGACTGAGAAATTTCTTCACCCAGAGTGTTGATCCTGTGGAATTTTCTGCCACAGAAAGCAGTTGAGGCAAAACCACTTTTTTCCAGAAAGAATTAGATATATAGGCAGTTCCTGGTTTGCAAACTGACTCAGTTCTGGAGTCCTTTCGCAAGTTAGCACAAGCAGGACGAACATAAAGGTGCAGTTCATAAGTTGGATCTTTAAAATTACAGCCCTGAATGAGATTATGTTTGTAAGTACGAGTGTTTGTAAATTGGCCATTTGTAAATTAGGTACACCCTGCAGCTCTTAATGCTAAAGGGATCAAGGGGTATAAGAAGAAAGTTGAGTTGCATGATCAGCCACGGTCATGTTGAATGGCGAAACAGGCTTGAAGGACCAAATGGCCTACTCCTACTTTCTGTTTGGGAGACTTCCAGTATTCTGACACTGGGGATTTTGGGTTCTGTGTAGTATGGAGCAAGTTTAAAATTTTTGTGCATTTTATATAGAAATTTACTGAGAATTTTGTGTTCTGAATTATAAAGAACATAGAAGCAGGAGCCCTTCGAGGTTGTTCCAGCATTCAGTAATATCATGGATGATATTTAATTCAGCTACACCTTCTTGAGTTATCTCCATAATACCTTAGTTTCAGTAATTTCTAAAAGTCTGTCCATCTCTAGTTTAATAAACTCCGTGATAATGTCAAAGATTTTCCCTCATCTCAATACTGAATGGCTGAGCCTGCATTCTGAGACTGACCAGGTTCTAGATTTCCCTACTTGGAGAAACAGTACTTTTTCAAATCTGAGTATGTTATGTTTCACTGAGCTCACCGGACAATCTTCTGAACTTTAGGAAATTATATTTCTAAGCTATTCAATTTCTCCTTATCACGCAATCTCTGAATTAATCTGGCGTGCTTTTGTTGCATGCCTTATTAAAACAGGTACCAAAACTAAAGCCCTTATGTAACTGCAGATAAACATTTTGGTTTCGTACTCCTTTTGTAATAAAGGCTAATCCAACTTTTGTTTTTCGTAATGGCTTGCTGTACTTGCGTATTGATCTTCCCCAGAAAGTCAATGTAAACTGATGTTACCAAGGCTCTTTTAAAAGGACGTTAACTGTAAACATTGAAGTTTCTCAGGCCCAGTACATAGTTACTGTAATGTAGGCAGTAAAAGATAAAACTAGCACCGGTTTGGTTACTGAGTGCTCTAATGGATAAAGAACTGGTAAAGGTCTAAGAATTATATTGTACAAGCTGTGGATTTCAACAGTTGTTTATCTATATTTGCTTTATAATTTTGACAGGATTACAATGATGAAATAAGACAGGAGCAGTTAACTGAGCTGGCATATTTGAATGGTGGGCAAGAAGCATCCCGTGGAAGAGGTGTACGTGGCCGTGGAGCTCCACCTGTACCACTTGCCAGGTAAAGATTCAGAAGTTACTGTGTTGAGAAAAAAAGTTACTGCTCAGCGCCTGAAATACAGCTCTGCAACCCATAAGATCTCACTGATAAGGTTTTTTTAAAAAAAATGAGGCACTTTCCCCATTTTCATTCCTTAGTATAGGCTTGTCAAAGTAAATTGTACCGTTTCAACAACTGGCTCAGTATATATTCACTATCCTGGCACAGAGGAGAGCGTGGTGAGGTGGAATCGCCCTTGAGATCTGTTTTGCTTTGCTTAGTACCACATTAAACACTCTAAACGATGCATTCTCAAATTCTGGAAACTTTCACTTTCTTTGCTTACCTCCTGCATATCACGCAGTTTTACAGAAAATAAAACATGTTCTGGAGAATCAGATTTGTCCTTTTTGAATATTCCTCCTTGCAGTATGTTTCATTCTGTCAGGAAGGTTTGGTAATGAATGAGAATGATGTCCTGGTGTTAGAACTGGGGAGCTAGAGGAATCAAATCCTCTTTTTCCAATCCAATTTCTAAGGGTTGCAAACTGAACGTTGGTGTGATCAATGATACGAAGTCAGAAGTCACATGACACCAGGTTGTAGTCCAACAGGCTTATTTGCAATCACAAGCTCTGAGTGCTGCTGCTTTGTCAGCTGTGACAAGCTGTGGCTTTCAACAATTTTTTTTGTTAAGACCTCACAAAGGAGCAGTGCTTCGAAACCTTATGATTTCAAATAAACTTGTTGGATTATAACTTGGTATCATCTGACTTCTGAATTTGTCCACCCCAGATCAACACTGGCACTTCCGCACCAATGATACTAAGAGTAATCTTTTTATTCTTTTAGTGGGGTGTGGGTGTTGCTCAAGCAGTTCTTAATTGCTTTTGAACTCATTAGCTTCTTAGGCCATTTTAGTAGATAGTTAAGAATCTAGTGGTGTAGACCAGGTAAAGATGTCATATGCCTTTGTAAAAGGCACTAGTGGGCTTGCAATGATGCTGATAATTTCACCATTACCATGATCAGGATTAACTTGCAAATTTTATTCATTGCACCCTCCTGAGTAGCACTACTTGGGAAGGTTTAAACTAGAGGTAGTAGGGGGCTGGGAACCAGCGCAGCAGATCAGCAAATAGAGGGATCGAGGGAACGTAGATGTTAGGACCAGTAAATCAGAAAGAAAGGACAGGCGAAAACAGGTAAATGAACATAATGGTAGTAATAGGCTGAAGTGTGTTTATTTCAACACAAGGAGTATTATAGGTCAGTACATGAGACTATGATGTTGTGGCCATTACAGAGATTGGTTGAGCAGCCAGTCCTGTGTCGCTCTCGCTCTCGCTATGTTCCAGAGTTCTGTTGTTTTAGACCAGAGACAGGAAGGAAAAAGGGTGGAAATGAAATTGGGTCCCTGGCTAACAACTGAGCCACCCTGTCGCCCACTGATGATAATGATGTAAATTTCACAAATGCTTCCAGGCAGTCAATTTTGTCTGTCACCCTATATCCTCTTCAGTGTGAAATGATTTTGTTTTTTAGTCAAGTCTTCCATCTGGACCTACACGTTACCACACTAGTACTGTATGTTCAAAAATGAAATTTCTACTGACCAGTTTAAAATGTCTGGCCTCATTCTGCCTACAAATCTCAAAAACATCGGTTAAGAGTCACTCAATATCCCACAATATTAAGTGTGCAAGAAGATTTGTATAAAGAGCAGCCATTTGAGAGAGGGTGCAATGACATCTGAAGTTCTAGCTGGTGAAGTGGAGGTCAATAAATTGCAAGCAGTCACATTGAGACTAACTTAATTCCAAATTGCTGATCTGTTAGATTCAGCTCGTGAAAGCTGCAAAACATCTGTTTATCTGAAGTCTTGATTAAACAGGCTGCCTTGCACGTTGCCAGTTTTTTGTCAACACGCTTTTCAGTGTAAGATATTTCTTTCTAGGGGCCGTGGTGCAGCACCACCACTTTCTACATCTCAGTATGGACCACGAAGTGCAATAACACGTGGGGCAACTGTGAGAGGAGCACCTGGAGGCCGCAGGGAAGTAGCAAGTGGACGTGGTGCCACACCAGTGCAGAGGGGTGCCCCAGCACCTCGCACCCGTGGAGCACCTTCAGCATACAGACCGGCACTGCACCCTCCACCTGCTCAGGAAAGCTATGATGAATATGTAAGACCATAAATATATGCATTCTAGCATGAGGTTTGGGTTATATGGTATATTGTGTAAGATTTTGGGCCTCTTGTATAGCACTTCCAGATATTTCAAAGGGTAAATTGGAGATAGTGGTGTTGAATTTAATTGTTATTAAAAAGCCTTGGATAGATCTTTTGATTTCACATTACGCCTTGTAATTAGATCACATTTTTATGTCTATTGCACAATGGAGAAGAAACTGAGAAACAGTTAACTTTTAATGTCTTTCATCAGTTCTGTTGACTTGAAATGTTAACTGTCTTTCTCCTACAGATGTTACCTGACTGGTAACTTTTTCCAGCTTCTCTTTTTTGTTGTTAATTCAAATTTCCAACATAGAGTCATAGAATCCCCACAGTGTGGAAACAGGCCATTTGGCTCAGCAAGTCCACACCAACTCTGCAAAGAGTATCCAACCCAGGCACATCCCCCTACCTATACCTGTAACCCTGCATTACCCGTGGCTAATGCACCTAACCTACACGTCCCTGAACTGTGGGCAACTTAACATGGCCATTCCACCTAACTTGTACATCTTTGGACTGTGGCAGGAAACTGAAGCACCTGGTGGAAACCCACACAGGCATGGGGAGAACATGCAGACTCCACACACAGTCTCCCAGGGTTGGAATCTAACCCAGGTCCCTGGCACTGTGAGGCAGCAGTGCTAACCACTGAGCCACTGTGCTGCCATTTGTTTTTGTGCTATAACTCAAAGTATTACCATGCCAGATGGGATGAATCATCATGCTGTACCGCATTGGATTGAGAGTCTAAATAGTGCTTAAATGGAAGCTGTATTTCTATGAAGAGAGTGAACTCTCCCAGGCTTTTCCCAGCCGTTCATTGTGTCTGGTGCTGCTGTGTAACTGATCATTTATAATAGATTTATGGTATATTTGTGTAAACCAATTGATATTTATGCCTTTAATGACTGCTAAAGATTGGGTATATCTGCAAGAGCTGTGTTTTTTTTGTTTTCAAACTATTTAAGATTTGTTTGAGAGCATATCTGATCATCGGAAACAGATATTTAAAGGTATTAATAAATGTGGCATATCTACAGCCAGTGGATTAAACAAAAGTTTAGTATTGGAAATCACTGTCATGTACCTTGGTTTCTGTAGCATTCTAATACAAGCAGGTGCTTCATATGTTGCTTGAATAGAATATTTTATTTTTAATTCTACTTTGTGTATTGTGTACTTTTAAATAGTGTGGTTGAACCTCACTCCCTTTGTGTAATATAGAATAATTTTACACGACAGCATTACAGCTGTTTTCTTATGAAAGAATCTGCTCTGACCGGGTGTTGTTGTTTCATTCAGAAAGGAGTGAATATTCTGCTCTTGAAAATAAACTAGTCTCTCAAATCATGATGATCAGTGTTATGAATATGAGGTATGATGGTGGCAGTAACTGGCAACTTCTTTTTAAACATTGCAGGGTTATGATGATGGATATGCAGAGCAGAGTTATGACAGTTATGAAAACTATTATGACCAATCCCAGGGGTGAGTAGAGTTGGGGATGTTTTTTTTTTTGAAGAGGTAATGACTTTATTGGAATGTTTTCTATGATTAATGATTTAGCCCATAACTATAGTTGCATTATAATAGGAATGGTACTTCCAGCTTGTAGGTTGTGGAGTGGAAACTTACTGAAATTTATGACTTGTCATTGGGATCTATTAGCCTGTATTTTGAAATAATCACCAAACAAATGTCTGGACTGTATTCGTGTTACAGGCTATCCTAAGACTGACTCCTGCAGGCAAAAATCTTCAGTCAATTTCCTACACCCAAATTTGACTCTTGAAATGGTTCTCCTGAATACTGTCAGAACCTTGTTGCTACAGAGTCCGAGACTGTGTCCTGAGACTGCCTTTGTTGGGACTATAGTCCAGATTGCAGTGAATCTGCAATCTGGTACTGAAAGCCAGCCTTAGTGATGGTATTCATTGCATTTGTATAGTTGAAGAATGCACAGTGGGACTTAAGCTATGAATTAGATTAGATCTGCAATTTTGTGGTCTGCAATATTTGCAGAATTTTGATAGTCCAGTTATTATTAGAAGAAGCTATTTAAACATAGGCCAGTGATTATATTATCCACTTTAATGTGAACAAACTGAGCACTTTATTTTTCTTTCTGGAAAAACAGACAGATTAAAACTACTCAGGAATGATTTAAACACGTTGCCAAGTGACAGTTTTTGTATATTTCTTTTTGCTTCAGCGATGCTGAATATTTTGACTATGGACATGGAGAAGTGCAGGAAACTTATGAAGATTATGGTGAGTGAATAACAGTTATCTCGTTTAACCTGGTCCAATAGTGCGTTGATGATATCCCTTTAAAAGTGAGAGTCATAATTGATTTTTCTGCTACATTGTTGTAAGCAAGCTGAATGATTGCCAGGAAACTGAAGTACTTTGAAAGTTTTCCTGTGATCCGCTGCAGTTTTATTACAAGCTTTAAGTGTAGCTACTGTCTTATTTGTTTGCTGTTAACTCAGTTTGAAGACTGTTTCCAACTCTGGGTCACAAGTTTCAGCCAATGGTCTTCGTGGGAGTAGACAGGACAGTCTAGATTTTCAGCTGATGGAGCAGAATTTTGCCTAAGGTCACGGGAAGCAGAAAGCAGGATTTCTTTCTTTTCTGCAGCTACTCTACCTCATTATTAAGTAATTGCCACTCAAAATGTAGTGCAGTTTGACGGACAAGTTATTGCACTTTGTGAACAGTTGATTGTAAACTCTTTTGGTATTAATGTCAATGCTGCTGCACTTCATAGATAAGATCTGTGTCTTATGAGACTTTGTTTTTTGACCTCCCTGGAACATTGGCTATTTGAAAAATGAGAAAACAGGATCTTGTAGATGTGATGGTATTTGCTGACCAAAACTATTGTCTAGTCCTTTTTGTAGTTGATTCTATAGAAGTTTTGTGCAAATGCTTGTAGCCACCTTCAAGAAGGACAATAGCATTTAGTTGATGATTCTCCCAATGAATCTGGAGGTTATGGCAGAGACATTGTATTGAATTTCTCTAGTATTCAGGTCTCAGTACAGCGTAGGAATATGCTGCTCTGTGCACGACATTTGGAAGTGGTTGCGGGTTTGGAAGTTGCTGTCTCATGATCGTTGAATTTCTGCAGAGCGTCTTGTAGCTGGTACATACTGCTGCTGCTGAACGTCTGTGGCAGAGCGAGTAGGTGCTTACGCATGTGATGCCAATCAAGTGGGCTTCTGTCCTCGATGGTGTCACCCTGCTTGTGTTGTTGAAGCTGCACCCTCCAAGCAAGTGGAGAGTGTTCTGTCAAGCTCCTGGCTTGTCTTGTAGCTGGTGGACAGGCTTTGGGGAGTCAGGAGGTGATTTATACACCACAGTATTCCTAGCCTCTGATCTGCTCTTGTATCTACTATGTTTATGCAGCAAGTACAGTTGAGTTTCTGTTCAATAGTAACTCGCAGGATGTTTGTAGGGCGAGGGGGGGAGGTTCAGTGATGCTAACACCATTGATTGTCACGGGATGGTGGTTAAACTGTCTCTTATTGGAGATGGTCATAACCTGGCATTTGTGTGGCATGAATGTTATTTGGCACTTGTCAACCCAAGTCGGGATATTATCCTGATCTTATTGCATTTGAAAGTGGATTCCTTCAGTATCTGAGGAGTCACAAATGGTGCTGAACATTGTGGAATCATTGGTGAACATCCCTGCTTTTCGCCTTATGTTGGAGTGCAGGTCATTGATAAAGCAGCTGAAGTTAGTTGAGCCTAGGATACTATCCAGAGGAACTCCTGCAGAGATGTCCTGGAGCTGAGATGACTGACTTCCAACAACCACAACCATCTTCCTGTGTGCCAGTTATGACTCCAACCAGTGAAAAGTTTGCCCTTGATACCCATTGATTCCAGTTTTGTTAGGACTCCTTGATGCCATACTCTGTCAAATGCAACCTTGATGTCAAGGGCTGTCACGCATGCCTCACTTTTGGAATTCAGCTCTTTTGTCCATTCTGAACCAAGGCTGTAATGAGGCCAGGAGCAGTGTGATCCTGGTGGAACCCAGACTGGGTGTCACTGAGGCTCCGGTTCTTGAAATGCTGTGAATTGAATCCTTTTATCAAATGAGTATTCCACCTCTAGCAGCCCAGCAATATGTTGCTTTAGAACAGTTAGCTTAAACGAAAGATTTGTATTTTGTGACCACCAGATGTTACAAAGTGCTTTGCAGCCAGTGAAATACTGCACTTTAAAGAGGTTTTTTTAACCTGTAAAATGACAACCAGTATGCATTTAGCCAATTATCTGAAACCACTTGTGCTGTTTCTTGTTTTTTTTTCTCCATTCATAATTCAACCCCAGTTCAGATTATCGCAGTGCATGTGTTTCTGAAACATGGTATAAGTAGTGATAAATGGGGCCCCAGTATGGGACAATGCAATTACAATAGCAATTTAATTTTGATGGACAGAACCTGACCTGTGAAAATGTTGGTCTGCATTTCAAATGTGTCTAAAATAGTAAGAATTAAAGCAGTAAAGTGTATGCTTCTGGTGGGCTTTTGAGGGTTCATAATCCAATGTGGTTTTTGTGTTGTTTTGCTCCGATTTTGCTTTTCATTTCCCTCTGCCTCTGAGTAACTGAGCTGTGAAGACCAAATATGCATATAGCCTGAGATCCTGTGGTTAACTGCCCTTCTTTCACTCACACTCCATGTAGACATAGCACAACCTGCATATAATGTAAGCTTGTTGTGTACATGAATGTCCACATGTACACTATGATGATCATCTCACACATTGCAACCACTCACCTGGCCCATTTCAATAGACCGTGTTTTTTTGTTTTGGTTTTTTTCCTCTGCAGCAAGTAATTTCCAGGAAGTGTTAGGTTTGATTGGAGTGAACTGGAATTGAGTTGCTATGTTCCTTTCTTTTACTGACTGGCTTCTTGTACTGCTGCTTGTCTGGAAATCAAACTTTCACTGTATATTCCAAGATCATCAACCTAAACCGGTTAAGTTTTCTTTTTGTGGTGGTGCAATTTGACTGGTTGTATTGATTTTGTTTCCTTTGACTTTCCATATGTGAGAGCTTTCCCAGGATGTCTGTCCAATCTGTATTCCTAAAAGAATTTCTGGGGTGATTTTCTTTTTGATGAACTACTTGTTTTAGGTTAAAAGATGGTTGCATTCTAATGCACATCACTATTATTACTGACTACTCAATTGCTGCTGGTTGGGGCCCAGAAAAGATGTTGCTTTGCGATCTGCAGTATTAAACTCTCAAGTCGATATACATGATAGTACAATCTGTTTCATGTGTCTGTGCACTTGTGGTGAGTGCTTGTCACATCAGACTGGTGGAGTGTATGCAGCAAAAATCTTGTGCTTATGTGTAGTGCAGATCTGTTTTCCTTCTGTGTTGCAGGGCAGGAGGATTGGAATGCAGGGCGAGCAAGCCTGAAGGCACCGGCAAGATCATTGAAGGGAATGTACAGAGATCATCCTTATGGGAGATACTAAACCTGGCTCTGACCATGTGTCCATCCTTATAAATTGCTTCAATCTTCTGTGGTCACCATCTTGTTATCAACTGTGAGACAAGTAATAGTCCATTTGTTTTCTACTCTGGACATTTACTGGGGAGACTGGTTTATGTACATGTTTAGATAATTAAAACTCATGGTAGTGCAAGTCTGGCATGATATGTTTCAATAAATTAGAGGGCAGCAAATTCCAGCTAAACCCATATGATTAGAATGCTTTGTTTTTGTTTTTATACTGTTGACGCAGCTGTCAATTTACATGTACCTGTAAAGATGGCATCTATCTGCCATTTGAATTTCATTCTGCTGTGTAGGTATTTTTAGACTTGTTTACCATGACTTCTGTTGATTACGAACAATGTTTAAATGATCTTCAAAGTTGCAGAATCCCATTGGATTACATGAGCTGCATTTTAAATCTGTCAAATTAAATCTTCACATTCCGTTCATCCTCGGCTTCCTTAACACATTGAATTATATTAGAAATGTTTGCTGGTTTTTTTTTAAACTTTTTGGGGCTCTGTAAATCCAGTGTTTTTAACTCGATTGGACAATGTTTGTTGTCTTCTGAAGTACTTCCAAAACAGAGGAGTAAATGTTCAGGATTTTTACGAAGGAATTGTGTGTACATTTGATTTTGATTGTTTTATTTTGAAAGCCCCCTTTAAAGTTGACATTGATTTTACTTTTGAAGAGCCCTTGCAAGCAGCTTTGTCATGATTGCAAATAGCATTTTTAAATCTTGCTAATGATTTGCAAAAAATACAAACCACAGCAATCCTTGTAAATTAGTACAAAGATGAGCTGATCATGTTCTCCCAATGGGGAATACCTTTGTTTTCTGGGTTGAGGATGGTGGATTATGGAAAATACGTAAATGTGCACCGGGATTTGGGCTTCTCTAAATTGTGCAGTGCTCTCAGCAGGCAGGTTTACTCGCACAAAACAACTGGCACTTGCTCCCTGCTCTTAGCCACTGGACCCATGTGTTTCTGTACAGTTGCTTTCATTAAATTCAGATTGCTGGCTGAGCATCACTGTTTTTATTGTTCTGCTGTAACCATATGGTTCTGGTGTGCTTCCAGAAGCTGCAGCATCAGTGAGTGTTTATCTTGATGTGTGGGGGTGGATTTATTTTCTTTCCTGGCAGCTTCATTTACCTCTCATCTGGCCTTAGAACAGTATCACTGTTCTGTCTGGATGTACTGAGCTTGTGTGATGTAAACAATGAAGTATGAAGGAGCAGGTTTTTTCCCCCACCATTGCATTTATTCAACAGGTGGTTGGTCTGTATTTCACCAACCACAGTTGCCAATATATTTGCCTCAGGATTCCTGTTTTGTGACAGTACTAGGGCTCTAGCAGCTTTGACTTCTTTCCTTCTCTTTTATACTTGGGGCCGTGTTTGATAGTATTGAGAGGACTGGTTAACCTGTAGTAACTGGGAGAATATGTCCAGTTCTGTCTCCACTGCCGTTTGCAGCTCAAAAGAGCTCTTTATGGTTCATATGCTTCGATAACTAGGATCCTGATGCTTGAGTATTGTTGATAAATTCTCATGCTTTTAACAGTTGGACTTCGAACAGAGTAATTATGGTTCACCAGGGTCAGAAATAATTATTGAAGTTAGGTTTATTTCTTCATTTCATTCCTCCCTCCCTATCTCCCGAGTTTCATGGTTTTATTTCGGCCTGTAATGTTTCTGGCAATTCTTGAGAAGCTCTGTCTGCTGATGTAAAAAGGGACACTGCAGCTAAAATCAGTTCATGTATGTAGTTGGAAATTTATAACCACAATTGTCTGTTGTCCTTGAAATCTGTGCCTGGACATAAATATGCATTGCACTCCTGTGTGAGCTGGCCTAAATAGGTAGCTAAACATTTGTCAAACACGTTTGCAACAGTTTGTCAATAAAGTTCAATTCTTTTGTATAGAACTAAACTGAATTCCCTTTTTTCCTTAGAAATATAAAACTCTTCTTTTTCTGCAGTACAATAAACATTCTCACTATATAAACTTTAAAGACCTCTGTTCTAATTATTTCGTTTTACCAAAAAAAACTAGCTTGGTTAAAATCCTTGGGATGAGTTGAAAGTTAAAAGCAAATCTGTTAACCCTGTTGCATGGATTTTGGTAAATCTTGGTTAATATGTGCAGAAATGGTGAAAAACACAAACAGATGGTTTCAACTTGCTAAAATAAATATAACGGAGTTGTTTATGCCGGCATGTTATCTGTGAACAAAACGTAAAGAAGATAGAGGTAAGACCACTGCTTCACCATAAAACTGTTAAAATACAAAATATTCCTTGTAGATTCTATATTGTGACTAACACCGTTAAATCATACGCTTGATACTACCCCCATGTGGGGCCCAACCAGAGGAGTCCAGAATACTTCAGTGTAACAGTTAACAACAAAAACCAAAAAAAACCTCAAGGTTAACGAATACAAAACGTTAATGTCTTTCTATTTTGAGTTTTAAAATGTATTTGCAATTTTCAGTGTTAATGTGACTAAGTCTCGGCAATCCCAGTCAGTTTACAGGGCTCAATGTCTTTATGATGAAATGAAAGATGATGGCTGATTTTTTTAAAGGAATATATCGCAGGACGGATGACTAAACCTTAACCACCTCGCAAAATGCACAAGGTAACCGTAATGCTAAATCTGTAATTTTGAGGCACTGATGTGTATATACAGCCTTTCTTAGTAACTATTATAGTTATAAATGGTTAAAAATGTAAACTTCCAAAAATTAAAATAGGAAAACAGGCAAATTTCTAATTAGTGTTAACTAGTGATAAACTTGTTCTGTTTTAACCCTGTCTTGATTAAAGAGTCTAAATTTGCCCATTATAATATGAATGTAATGCAACTCTTGCTAAACGCTGAATGCTTTAAATTTAAAACAAAACACACAAAAATAGATCAGTCCAGGTAAAGCTTTAAAAGCAAATTGGTCTGTCCTCAACTAATAAAATGTATTTAGATTTTGCCAATTTTAAAACTAATTTATTTTTACTATATCTATTTTTCAAACTTAAATTCTGAAGTTTGTTTCAATTTAAATAAAAGCTTGAGTTGCATGCTGCCCTTCTGTGTAATGTAAGTGTAGTTTGCATGGAAGTTTTCAAGCTGCTTTTATCACTTTACTGTACACACACTTCAACTGGTCAGGGCTGAACAATTTTATTTTTCCCTTTTTGCAGGCACAGGGTAGTAACCCCTGCTGAAGTTTGTATCCTTAGAGCCGGGATGTCTTGTTGGGTATGTACGTGCAAATGCACACTGCTATTTCGTAAATGTCTCCCAGTTTTTCACTGGGTGTTGCATGGTGTCATGTTGATCAACAAATCTGGTGCTTTAAACTGATTGAAAAATGCCCTTTTCTCTATGAAAAGGTGTCTGTTTCAGGAAAAAGAAATGAAATAAGGATGACCTGTTCATGGGTATATTGGATGAGAGTCATGTAGGTAGCACCAAGATTTAATGAACTGGGACCTGACATCCTTGCAGATGCCAATGTTTCACAATGTGTTCAACACTCGTGCAAATGATCTCTCTGGCTTTAAAGTATTGGTTTAAGAAATCCAGTCCTGCTACACACTCTGGTTCAAGGATATAAACTGCAGCCTAGTTCTACCATGGAACCATATTCAAATTGGGTCTCACTGTCCAACCTGTGTAATATCAGTGCCGACTTGTTTTGTACTGCAGCAACGTTACTGATCGAGCTGGTCAGATCCTAAAGAAGATAGCTGCTAGACTAACACTGGCAGTGGTGAGGGAACCAACAAGAGGGAAAACTGCAGATGGATCTGTCCATGACTGTGTCAATAAGAGTCATCACTGCACAGTCCTCGTGGAGACAAAAGTCCCACCTTCACTTTGAGAATACCCTCCATCATGTTGTGTGGCACTATCGCCTTGCTAAATGGGACAGATTTAGAATAGATGTAGCAACTGAAGACTAGGTATCCCTGAGGCGCTGTGGGCCATCCGTGGCAGCGGAATTGTACTCTGAGACAATCTGCAACCTCATGGCCAGGCATAGACCCCACTCAACCATTATGATCAAGTCAGGGGATCCAGGAGCAACACCTTTATAGCTAAAAATGAGGTGTGAATGTGGTGAAGCTGCCAAACAGCATAACCAGCAAATGACAGCTAAATGATCCCACAACCCCGGATCAGATCTAAATTCTGCAGATCCTGTCGTGAATGGCAATGAAATAACTGACTGGAGGAGGCCACGCCACAGATATACCCATCCTTAATAAATGGAACAGCTCAGCACATCTGTGCAAAAGACAAGCATCCACAGCAGCCTTCAGCTAGAAGTGGCAAGTAGATGATCCATCTCTGCCTCCTCCAGTGGTCCCCAGCGTTACAGAAAGGTTACATTGGCCCTAAAACAGAAGTTGCTGGAAAATCTCAGCAGGTCTGGCAGCAGCTATGAAGAAAAGTCAGTTAACATTTTGGGTCCAGTTCTGCGGAACTCTGATTTTTTCTTCACAGCTGCTGCCAGACCTGCTGAGCTTTTTCAGCAACTTCAGTTTTCATTCCTGATTTACAGCATTCGCTGTTTTTTTTCGGGTTTTTACATTGGCCCTAGTCTTCAACCAGTTCAATTCTTGATGTGGTATTTAGCACTGAAGACTTTTTTGCTCCAGAACTTGCCATTCTCCTAACCCAGCTACTCGGGTACGGCCATATTATTGGAATCTACCTGACAATGTGAAAAATTGCCAGATATGTCCATTCTGCAAAGAGCAGGACAAATCCAAATTGGCCAATTACCTCTTCTTCAGTCAACTCTTAATCATCAGTAAAGTGATGGAAAGTGTCATCGAGTGCTGTCTAGCGGCTCAGTGACGCCCAGTTTGGGTCCTGCTACGGCTACTAAGCTCCTGATGTAATTACAGCCTTGGTTCAAATATACACAAAAGAGCTGAATTCCAGGGGTGAGGTGAGAGTGACAGCCACGTTCAATGGAGTATGATAATGAGGCACCCTAGCAAAACTTGAATCAGTGGATATTGGCGCAAATTTCTGGTTGGAATCATACCTGGCATCATGATGGTTGTTTTTTTCCTTCCTTCATTCACTGGGTGAGGGTGTTGCTGGCTATGCAGCATTTATTGTCCATCCCTAATTGCCCAGAGGGCGGTTAAGAATCAACCGCATTGTGGGTCTGGAGTCACATGTAGGCCAGACCAGGTAAGGATGGCAGTTTCCTTCCCTAAAGGACATTAGTGAACCAGATGGGTTTTTCCGACAAGCAACAATGGATTCATGGTCGTCATTAGACTCTTTAATTCCAGATATTTATTGAATTCAGATTCCACTATCTGCCATGGTGGGATTCGAACCCAGGTCCCCAGAATATTATATGGGTCTCTGATTAACAGTCCAGTGATAATACCACTAGGCCATCGCTTCCCCTGTGGTTATTGCAGATCAGTCATCTCAGCTGTGGGACGTCTTTGCAGCAGTTCCTCAGGCTAGTGTCCTAGGCCCAACCATCTTCAGTTGATTCATCAATGATTTTCCCTTCATAATAAGGTGAGAATTGAATGGGGTTTATTGTCACATGTACTCACATGAGTACATTGAAAAGTTTACAAGCCACCACTTGCGGTGCTGTCTCGGGTACACAGGTACCTAGGTACCGAATCTTAGTTACAAAGCAGAAAAATAAAGAAGACAAAGTTTTTAAAAAGTTAAACCTAACAGTCCTTCTTACTAAAAAGTAGAAAAGCAAACACTGTTAACAGTTCACCATGACAGTCCATAAGTGGTTAGCCTTGCTGAACTTGCTCCTCAATGGCCGTGGGCTACCTGTTACCATTTTTGGTGCCAGGAGCCCTGGATCACCTGATTCTTCCATTGCCGCTGCCCAAAAGAGTAGAAAGATGAAGGTGAAGATGAAAGAAAAAAGGAGAAAGAAGAATGCAGCTGACCTGCTGCTGTGTCGCAGACAGGCAGCAGGAGCCAGAGTGCTGCCTATCCTGCTGCTAGTTGTTTGCTGATGACTGAACAATGTTCAGCACATTTATAAGTCAGGTACTGAAGCAGTCCATATTCAAATACAACAAGATCTAAACAAGACCTTGGGCTGGCAAGTGCCATGTAACATTTATGCCACACAATTGCCATGTAGTGACCAACTCTGGTAAGAAACATTGTAATTGTCACCCCATGATATTCAATGGTGTTAGCGTCACAAAATCTCCTCACCCACATCAACATCCTTGAGGTTACCAATGACTAGAAACTAACAGGACTCACCACATTAACACTGGCTGCAATAGAAGGTCAGAGGCTAAGCATACTGTGGTGAGTATGACTCCTGACTCTCCAAAGCCTGTTCGTCATCTACAAGGCATAAGTCAGGGGTGTGATGAAATACTCCCCACTTGCCTGGAGGGTGGTGCTCCAACAACACCCGAGCAGCTTGATACCATCCAGGATAAAGCAGCCCACTTGATTAACTCCATATCTACTTGCTTCCCCCACTGACGTGTAGTAGCAGCAGTATGTGCCATCTACAAGATGCACTGCAGAAATTCATCAAAAATCCTGACACTGCAACTTCCAAACCCAGAACTACTTCCGTCTAGAAGACCAAGGGCAGTAGATACGTGGGAACACCACCACCACCACCTACCTGCAAGTTCTCCTCCAAGCCACTTACCATCCTGACTTGGAAATATATTGCCATTCCTTTACTGTTACTGATTAAAAATCCTGGAATTCCCTCCTTAAGAGCATTTTCGGTCAACATAGAGCATGTGGACAGCAGTGGTTCAAGAAGACCGCTCACCACCGCCGTCTCAAGCATAACTAGGGACAGGCAATAAAAAGTACTGGCTGGCCACTAATGTCTACGTCCCATGAGGGGGAATAAAACATCGTGGGAATTTAGCACTTACGATCTAAGGGGTTTTATTTTATGAATTAGATGCAATGCAGTAATCTGGATAATGGTTATGTTACTGAACTAGCATCTTGAGTTCAAATTCTACAGTAAAAAATTGTGAAATTGAATTCAGTAAGAAAAAAACTGGAATTAAGTCTAATGATGACCATGAAACCATTGTCAACTGTCAGGAAAAGAATCCATCTGGTTTACTAATGTCTTTTAGGGAAGGAAGCCTGTCCTCCTTAGCTGGTCTGATCTACACGTGACTCTAAACCTACATCAATGTTGTTGACTCAATTCCCCACTGGGTAATTAAGGATGGGCAATGAATGCTGACCTAGCCAGTGATGCATATGTCCTCTGAATGAATACAAGAACAAGTCTGATGGTTAGTGGGCTGGGCCCCACAAACAATGACCAAATCTTCTTGATTGTTGCAAAACTCAATTGATACCCGATTTAAACCAAATGTGACTCCCCAATTCCACATGATACGGTTTGCCTATAGACAGCATGAGATGGGCCTGAAACACTCTCTTGTCAGTGTTGTTTGCCAGTTTCCACAATTAATATATGATTTGTGCCCCTAAGGAGTGATGTAGTTTCTTCGATTGTCAGTGTTCCTTAAAAACTTCCAAACTTGTGTTTTACTTGTTTGATATTACTGTTTTAAAAAAAAAACATAAAATACCAGGAGCAAGATGTTACAGAAGGAGCAATCAGCCGCGTCCTGTTGGGTTTCTGGAGACTTCTTGGATGCGCAGGGATTCTGGTTTTCTGATTAAGTAGGATGCTGTAAATTTCAGAAGCCTCAGCATTTGATCTATTATGTACACTGAACCTATTCCACAAAAAAATGAGGCAAGAACTGCCTTTATAGAAGATATATCTTTAATTAACCCCATGGGAGCAGGACAGAATTTAAAATTTGCAGCAAATTGTACTGTGCTGGAAAGATTGCAGACTGCTATTGGTTAGAATGAGCTACATTATGTTCTGGTTAGAATCCTCTGCAGGCAGGAGATAGAGACTCCTATGAACTTAGATCTTTTGTTAAAATCAGTATAAAACTAGAATCACTGATAAATCTGTTGTATCTGGATCATGTTGGGTTCCTTGTGCAGCTGAATTTATTTGGTTGAAAGGTATTGCTTTCAAAATACACTAAACTTCAGTTCTTAAAGTTAATGCAGTAAGATCCGAGGAGGAGGTTATTATTCGAGAACTTTTCTTTTGCATTTCTGTTTGCAACAAAATATACAATACTTTCACGTTGCCTTTCTCCAATGTCTGGTAATGATAGATACTGTTGTGCAAAATTGACCAGGAATTTGAGATGTAG